TATATATATATTATATATATATATATGTGTGGTGTGTGTATGTATATGTGTATATACACATATATGTATGTATATATACACATATACATGTATATATGTATAACAAGAATTCCCCTGCATATTGCGTAAAATATGAAATGAGGAAATACTAATGAATGAAACGAAAGTTATTGAGGATAATATTGAAGGTAACATTCGTAACTTTAGTGAGGAAATAAGAATTTTTTATTTATACATATATTTATACATATAAATAAAAAATTTTTACAACTACTACTATTCTTATTGGGAGTACGAACAAATACAAGGATGACAAGAACGTAAAAAAAAATCTACTGTATATTGTAATTCTCGATTTTGTACTTTAAGTGATGAGAATTGCCTAACTCTTTTTTGAATCCTTTTTCGCGAAATAACATACAGTCTAACATCTAAGTAGGCTAACATAAATTCATTTTTATGAAATAAATTGTTACAGAAGAGGAGATATATACAAAATAACAATGTTCCTGCAATGTAACGCGACATATGTCCAAAAACTTAAATATTTCGTAAGATATGTACGATTTATTTTGTATTTTATCAGCGATCTCTTTACCTCGAATTATATTAGATCTGCACGTAATTGGCATCCACGTAATCAAATTTGTGTGCTTGTTACGAAAAGCGTAAGACGTTTAAGAGTGAAATCTACTTTACAACCATTTTGCAAACTCAGTTTACACCCCATTGGCAAAATTCTCGCGAAATTCATAGATTGATCGACTAGCTGACTTTTCAAGTTGATGATAAAGTGTGCATGCATGTATACACATATTTCTGAAAAGTGTTTACTTTGTGCATTGAACTGATTGAACCTCTGTACAATTGTTAGAGTCGCCTTGCAAAATATTTTTCAAATACGCAATCATTGTCCATTGACATGTATATTAAAGATACGAGATCGCGCAATCATTACTGTATATATATATAATACATACTGTAGTCTAGTACGATTTCAGGACTGACAAGAGACTTCTCATGAATATTTGACTGTGAACGAACGATAGTCCGCATAGATTAAAATGTACATGTGACTATTTTAAAAAGACAAATTGCGTAATTGTGCATACTGAAATCGAAAAAGAATATTGTAATGCGGAATATTACTACGAATAAATGTTTTGATCGTTATATACATGTGACTTTGGAATTGTAGTTTTAGGAACTTTAGTCACTTCCTTAATTTACTATCTATGACCAACTCTATCAATGTGATCTCCTGAGACTGTTAATTTTTTAGTTTTATCTTGTGTGACTCTACAGGTAAATTTTCAGAAATTTTCGGAATCGCAATTTGTATGAAATTTTAATCTAATCTCTTACTCTCTATTATAATTTCCTGGATTATAACAATCCTGTAATTTTTTTCCCGAAGACAAAAACGTGAGTGAAATTTTTTATTATGGAAGGATTATAATATTTTCGTTTTTCATGTTTCCTAGGAGGAAAAAAGTTACACTACTGCACAATTACAAGTTAGATTGCTGTTTTATTTTTTACCAAGGTACCTTTAAATCTTCAAAATAGGAAGATATAATGAGATAAGAAATAACATTAATTCAAATTTTAAAATAAAATTGTGTTTCCGAGATTTTATATATGTATTCAGATATCTTCCGTATATATTATATTTACGTACATAAAAATTATATGCGCTATAAAAAGATTATATAATCATTACAGATGCATAACGAGAAGGCTTAACTCATAAGGTTTAAAATATACAGCTATAAATTCTCAGCTCGTCAGAATTTTGAACAATCTTGTATCGCACAAAAAAGAACATACTTGATATTCATAATTATTATTGCTGCAAACATTCTAAGTCTCATGAGGATGAGGTCTCGTAGGCTTCAAGATCAATTTTCCAGTGTCATCACAACTCATGTTGAAATCACCAAGTACACTTCTGGCCCGCTGAGTTATAATACTGGGTGCTATTACCCGTCTATGTACTCCCATCATAAACAGTATCACTGGAAAATGATTTCCAAAATGCAATTGCCATATCAACTTGTACAAAATACATAGGGAGTCAGTCCCTCCATATTTACCTAATATTATACTAGCCATTGTGAAGAATGGATGGTTGTATAAACTCTGCGTGAAGGACACTGCTGACGTGTTGGGATCTGTCAACCAATGCCAAGCACCAATAGCAGTGCAAATAGACATTAAACCTAATAACACTGTAAAAATATTCAGATATATATCATTAATATCAGCAAGTTAAATAGAGCATGATAAATTTCAAACAAATTAAATTTTCAGTATACATAATTAGAATGATAAAACTAGAAAAAATTTAAAGAATTATTATCTATTATGTTATAGCATTTTATAAATATGCTATTATAAATACATTGTAAACACACATAAAAATTAAGAAACATACTTCTCCATCGCGTAGTAGCTGGTTGTAGGCTGGCGATAACTTCAGTAAGTCGTCTTTCGAAAGCTTTCAGATCTGAAAGTGTGAGAAGCAGTTCAGCTTCAAAGATAACAGTAGTACACCTCAAAACCGACGAGTCATTTATTTCAATCATTTAAATCGAATGTCATTAACGCCAATTGAACTTGACTGAATCGTCTCTTGAACTTCAATTCGGAACAATGGTCAAAAATGACAAGAGTCGTTAATCGAAGATAAGTGATATACACTGGTGCTGGTGACAGATTGTTTATCTGTAAACCGGTTTTAAATACAGCGTGATATTTAACATCATCTTAATGTGCTTTACCTTCGCATACTGTTTGATCTAACGACATAACTTTTAATGACAGAATCAGAATACGCATCTGCTTGAGATCAGAGAAAATCTATCTACACTGATAGTTGATAGAATTGACGGATAAATACAGATTGCAAGTAAACAACATTGCATTGAATACATACATACGAGTAATGCGAGTCAACTAAGTGCATCGATTGCATGGATGTATGAATATCTGAACGGAGTGTAAAGCCAGTTTATGAGCAAGGGAACTGAGATTCGCGCGGGAGGGGGGGTCAGCCATCTTGTCTGGCGATATTTTAGCGCTCTATTTGAAAATCGATATATGTATTACGGTATTATTTGTATTTTCAGTGCAAAAAAGTATGATTTTGTGTGAGGCAAAGTTAATTCGACGGTTATGTGCATTTAAAAATAATTTTCTGTTTTATATTAAAAAAAAAAAATGAATATATACGAGTCTGTCCCAAAAGTATCCGACCTACCTCCATTTTTCGGCGCTTGGCTTATTCTTCGTCATCCGGTTGGTGGCATCCTTCGAAGTAGTCCCCATTTGATTGAACAACACGCTCATATCGATGCTTCCGCTTCCCAAAGCAGTCTTGAAAGTCAGTTATTGGAATCGCCTTTAGTGCATTCGTCGCATTGGTTTCAACAGTCTTCTTGTCGTCGAATCGATGTCCTTTAAGCGGCATTTTCAATCGAGGAAATAGCCAAAAGTCGCAGGGAGCTACGTCGGGACTGTACGGAGGCTGGCGAAGCTGTACAACACTGTGTTTTGATAAATACTGTTGCACAAGGTTTGATGCATGCGCTTTTTCGGTCATTTTTAGCTACTTAAAAATCCGACGAACGTGAAAAACACACTGTAAACAAATACACACTGCGTATGAACTATACGTCCTACTAGTGTCGGCGCCCAACCGATAAGTTCGTAAGGTCCTCCTGTTGACGTGCCTGCCCGGTAGAGATCGCTAGAACACTTTGGCGCGAAGATATAAATGCAGGTCGGATACTTTTGGGACAGACCTCGTATATCCATTATTTCTTTTAATATAAATCGAAAATTATTTTCAATTGCACGCAGCCGTTAAATGTTTACAAATCAAGTAATTAAAAAAGGGGATATGAGCCAAGTTATTTTAATACTGAGAGAGAGAGAGAGAGAGAGAGAGATAATATAAAACTAAATTTCATATAATTGAACATTTCGACTTGTATATAAAATCATAATTAACGTTACAAAGAACCGGTAATTGCAAGTAGTATCAGTTAAGGTCTCATAAAAATCCTAATAAAATCCAAAATCATGTTAAACATTATTAATATAAAATATGCAATACTCGAATTTTATATATAATACTCGAATTTTAAGTTTTATATGACTGTAATTGTTATTCATAATTTACACTAGAGAGCTTCGCAGGAAGAAAGTGCAAACTGTATCACGTAACCCGTCTCCTCTGATTGCGTATTGACATCAAAGTTCCATAGGAATGGAAAAGATTGGAGAAAACTGGTCACGTGATTCCCGTTCTGATTGGATGTGAGCATTCACGTGATGCAATTTTCTACTCTCTGTGAGGCTCTTTATTATACACATATGGAAATGCATCACCACGGATTACAAAATATCAAGGCACAGGCATATATTGAAAAATTAACAGGGCTTAATCTTATTTCAAATAAATTTATTTAAAATATATATTTTAAATAAAGAAAAAATTACAATGTTATTTAATATTTATTATTTTAAATAACTTCTTCTTACTTATTTTTTATTTAATATTTTAAATACGTTTTTGGAATGTATTTTATATTTTTTACTTTAAATAAATCGTATCAGTTATGTTACCGATCCGTTAGTAAAAATGATGGTTATTAGTTATATAAATTACAGTATATTTATAATGAAGTATAGCATGTGTGTGGTATACAAGATATACTCATATATGATATTTCAATTTTTCACTTATAATTCGAGAAGGATTAATATTATTAAATATTAATTATAGTTATAATATAACAAAACTGAAACATTATACTTATAAATATATATTATAGTATATTCAAATAAATAAAATCATGAAAATATTTTGTATTTACTATTTGAAATGTTTATTTAAACTATACGTATATTTCTTATTTTAAATTTTAAATAAAGTTTCGAAATTTTTATTTAAAATAAGAAATCGCCTTCGAAAATTTATTTAAAATAAAAGACAAGTTATTTTTTTATTTTAAATAAAAGTTATTCTATTAGGTGTTGGAATTAATTCGTAGCGTTTTACAAGTGATGGGAAGTACTTTCATTAATGTATTTTTTAATGCTCATGTGAAATAAATAACATTCTTTCATTAAAAAACGCTACGAATTAATTCCAACACCTAATATAATTATTCTATATTATTAGTAATTTTTAAATAAAATAAATTTTTTTTTAATTTTATATAGGACTCATGTATCCCTTCGTGGTCCTTCTAGCTTAAAATGATCCAAGCATCATTTTTTACGCTACCTTGATGAAAATGTAAAACTTGTCGAAGCTTCAAAGAAGTGTGAACAAAGAATTTTAACATTTCTTAAACACTTCATTGACTTTCTATTGACTCTTAGTGGTTTCGAATATTTATATACGCTCCACGAACTCTCCCCAAACGCTCCGTAAAGTGTGCTCAAAACACATCTGTCACATTTCTTCACACGTTTAAAATTTTTTTTTTTTTCATTAACGTTTCTCATACGCTCCTCAACGCTCCGCAAAGAATACATGGAACGTACTGATATACTTCCTAAACTTCATGCATTAGTACTTCATCTATGCTTCCTAAACGTTCGGTAAGAAGTACATGGAACATTCAAATATGCTTTGTGTACGCTTCCAGTATATAGAGATAAAAAAATTTATTTTAAAACCGAGCGTCATTGAACATACAGCAAACGTAAACGAAGCGTCATTGAGTAATACGCGGTACCGCCACCAGATGGACTTAGCGAGAACTAATTTCTCGAATTTAAAAAACCGCACAGACTAGGATAAAAGATGTAGCATTGAAAAATTTTTCAATTGTGTTCTAATGAAATAATTTGAAGCAAGTCCTTAGGGCTCCAAGAAAAAAAGGATAGCACTTTTTTTTAGATATTTATCGAATAAATGAAATATATCATTTGCTTATCAAGGACCTCGATTACATTTAATTCGTCTAAGAACTCGACGATACTCTGTTTACGTTCTCTAGACTTCCTAATCAAGTTCTGTTTACATTCAACGAACATTCTGCTCGTACTTGCTGAAAAACTTATACTTTTCTAAACTCTATACTTTTATTTATGTTTCTTTAATGTTAGTTGACGCTTCCTTTACGTTTCATGTTCCAATTTTCACTTCTTACGAGTTTCATTTACGTTTCTGTTACTCCCTCCTTACATTTCCTTTACATTCTAATTAATGCTTTATTGACACTCGCTTTACGTTTTATCTTCATTAGAGAGAGCGACCGTTTTTTCACGCGTCTACTAGCGTCCTTATATTAATTAAAAATATACTTAATAATATATCTTTCAAATTTTAAAAACATTCATTGCTTATTTTCTTTGTAAAAAATTTCCAAAAATACCTTTTATATTTTGAATCATTACAGTGTTTTCCCCCCTTAAAGTCCAATGAACATTTCTTCAATCCACTTTTTTGGTACTTTTCTTTTCGATTTATTTCCGGAAGAAGTCTTCACGCTTCAATGACGGGGAAGGCCGGCAGAAATATGATCTCTGACCGCGAAAGTGGAGGTCATTATCCCTTATCGCGATACGATCAATATTATCGATCCTGAGAACACGGTGCTAGGAAGTGCGACTCGCGCGTGACAGTTCCTATGGAAACCCGCGATCGAATTCGCACCCCCGTCTCTTGGACTTCTTCGATAGCCGCTATCACGCGCGATCCCCGCAGTAGCACAAATATTGACGCGGTGAAAGGCCGCAAAACTTTGCGAGTCCGAAGAACGGCTATGTTCCGGAGGATGAGATTTCATCGTCGGAAGAATTTCGGATTGTCTTTTAACTATTGACAAGAGAGAGGAACGCTGTCGAGATACCATTCGCAAAAATCTTCGTGACAATGGAATGTTTCGCATGGGAAGAAATCGGTTGATAGTGGAAACTCGAGTCGCGATTCATCATCGGGGCGATTTCCGACCGGCCGAGAGGTGTGCAAAAATGTTACACGAGGTAGCCTACCTCGATTTTATTCGATTCATTTCATTTCAAAGAATTTCATTTCAAAAAAATCATAAGGGGTAAAATGAGAATTCATTTTCTAAAATATCAGTTAAATTATAATAGATTTTAGATATTTAATAATAAAATTTTCTATAACAGAATTATAATGCCGATAAATTTAATTAATAAATAACAATCTCAATTAATGTCTGACAATAAGAATCTGATTGAAATTTTTCAAATCATATTTTAGTGCGAAAAAATTTATTTTAGAAAAAGAACAATAAAAATTGAAGTTAAAACTTCAGATTTTGCATGATATATCTTTTTTACGGGTAGCTTCAATATTAACTCCTTCAAGTATAAAAACTTAGTATACATCGTGCACTTGATACAGTAATTAGTAACTTTCTATTGAATTAGCTCAATTTCAGTGATACGTGTAAATATATACACGATATGTGTATTTAATTAATCATTTTGATGCATATCAATTTAGTACATCATTCTTTATCGATGAAATTAAAATAATATTTAATAGAAAGTTACTTGTTAGTACATGTATCAAATGTACGATGTAAACTAGGCCAAAAATGTACTTCAAGATATCACAATATGATATGATATTAAAATCTCACGATAAAGATTCGAATCGCGAAACTGTGCGAACGAATTTATAGGAATTTACATGATTTGTTGAATAAATGACAGGGGGAGTTTTGAGTGTGTATGTTTCGAAGTATTGCTATCAATGGAAATTTCCGCTGACCGTTGCTAATTCCCGAATAGATAGGCAGTCGAGGATATCAATAATTATGGTTTTAGTTTAGAGAACTTAGTTTAGGATCCTCTTTCGCCTTTTTCTATCGTCCATTGTTGCTGCCGCATTTATTACGTCTTCCCATAAAAATCGTGTACGAGGATGATTGGAAGGACATCGCTGCTAGAACAAAAAAGACTCCAGTGGGCGAAAGAAAGGGGTAAGTAAACTAACAATCACTTATACTAATAACAATTACTTACAAATTACTTACAATTGCTAAGAAATTGATGAACAAAGTATTTACTAAATTCTGTATTTTTTAGATCGGTAGATAGAATTTTAGATAGATTTTTTAAAATTTCAGTCTAAAAATATTAATATTTTGTTGTATATTAAATTATATTTTTATTTTTTTATAATAATATAACATTTACTTTAGTTTTTTTAATATAATCAAATAAGTGGAAATATCAATACATGAACAAATAATGTATATAGAATTATTCCTTTTATAATAATAGAAAATTTATCAATATGTAAATAAATAAACAAATAAATGAAGAATTGAAAATTTGTCAAAGCAAATCTTGATGCTTATAATGATATTTTTGCGTAAATTTCACTTTGACCGAATAAAGTTTTCGCCTTTTCGCTTATTTGTTATTTTTTTTAACTTCGTCCATACATATAATATGTATATTAGACTGATAAGAAGAAAAAACAATTTTCTTTTTAATCGGCCTTTTAGCTAAAAAAATTTTCATTCCATGTCAAAAGAACACCCCTAAACTTTCATTAAAAAATATTAAGATTTAGAGGTCACTAATGAATGATTTTTAAATCAAAGTTTCAATTTTCCTTAATACATGTTTGATTTGATGTAAAAATAGCTTATTCCGGATTTTAAACGGTACTGTATGTGTTTTTGGTCACTGAATGATGCAATAATTCATTTAGTTCTATATGCCTTAAGAAATACAATCCGATTAATGTAAAAAAATGACTAAATTTCGAATTCAAAATCGATTTTCGTAAAGTTTCAAGCATCCAAATGAGTCGTTATGCCCCTCAAATTGTATATCTGTTCACTCAGAACAAAATTCAGTTGAAATTTTCGTGGAATCTCTCACAGGACCTTTAAAAATTGCATTTAACTGGATAATAAAATATTTTTAAGGATAGAAAGAAAATTTTTTTACAAATTCTCAACTATATCACTTGTGTGTTTTAACATCCTCAAATCAAATGCCTCAATTTGATGATAAACAATTCTTCTTCAATCTTTATTAGAAAATGAAATGAGTGCATAATACTATAAAAAAATATAATTTAATTAAATATTTATATGTTTATAGTAGATTAACAATTATGTAAATATATAATATATACAGACATTTCGACCTTTTCACATCAGATCTCTTCAGTTTAATAAAATAAAATTAACGCAACTATTTTACATTTCAAACTCTTTGTAAGATCGAGATCATATCGAGATTCCTATATTTCGAACATCTTCAATTGTCATAAATGAATTTATCCATAATCTCTTGTGGTGAACGTTAGTTATATTAGTGTAGTATCAACATGAAATATCGAATGCCACACCTAAATATCTCAACTCCTAAGATTTTGTTACATGCTATGATTTGAATGTATAGAATTTTTTATTTATTGCTCCATCAGAAGTAAAAATATGTAAATTACTAATACGAAACATCTGTATGTACGTTTTCATAATTGTTAGTCTATAAACATATAAATATTGTATAGCACGAACAACAAGTGTGCTTTGCCTTTTTACAATTTCATTATTTGAATTTTATTTATTGGAGCCTATTACATTGTGATTTGATTTTAAACTTAATCAAATATTATATAATTGAATAAATAAAATAAACTGCACATTATGTATATTTTTTTATCATTAAAAGTAATAAAAAAGGCTCTGTACTTATAAACAAAAGGTAGTATAAAAGAAGGGCAAAGAGCCAATAACGTATAAAAGAATTATAATTTAAATAAGCAAAACTAATACAAAACAATTAAAATAAAATAAAACAAACGTTTCAACTCCAATCGAGTCAGTTTCAATGCAATCTTACAATAATATCAATATCGTTCTAAATTAAAAATTCGTACATAATCTTACAATATTCTTACAATTCCTTAATATAAAATTTCTTCTTTCTGTGTAATACGCTGCGAGTCATTTTTATCAAGAATTAACAAAGTCATAAGAAAATTCTAGAAAAGTAACCGTAAACAAAAAGAATTAATATTAATCACATAAAAATTAATAATGATAATGTACCTTAGTAAATCTGTTAAGAGTCCAATAATACACAACGAAAAAAAAATGTAAAATGTGTCCATTTCATGATACAATGAAATAGTCTTTTTAATTTATTATAAGCAAATTCGCAAAGCTAACAAGCATCTGACTTACACGATGTCAAAAAATGAAATGTCAAGCAGAAAAACATTATCGAGAACGGAAAACGGAAAAATAGGGGGAAAAGGAAAGAAGATGTTAGAAAGAAGAAACAGAATGTATAATGTCAGAATACAAAGACTCCGTGTCATTTTGTCTATTAATCCCATGCTTCCGTTTTTTAATATGGACCATTTCAGATATCAATCTTTTATTGTATGAAGGCTCTACATCTAATATTTCTCACTTTATCCCATTTAAAGTTATGATTCTCCTCAATACAATGGTTGGAAATCACTGATGGAGATTTTGAACTTATATTGATATCAGAAACATGTTCATGCAATCTGGTCTTTAATTGTCTTTTAGTTTGGCCAACGTAACTGGCATCACAATCCTCGCAAGATATTCTGTAGATCACATTTTGATTCTGAACGTGTTCTAAATCATCCTTTCCTCTCCTTCTGAAACTTCTTAATGTGTTAGGAATAGTAAAAGCCAATTTACAATTAAACATATTAACAATAGGTATAAATCTTTCGGATATCGTATTAACATATGGAATCGTAAAAAACTTCTTCTCAGTGTCATCCTTATTCTTATTCAAATTATTAATCTTATTAATATGATATTTGATTCTATTATGAATAGTCGAAAAAATAAAACGTAACGGATATTCATTCTGTAAAAAAATCTTAATAGCGTCAATCAAATTATTTTGTTGGAATTTCGGATGACACATGGCTAAGATAATATCATCAATGTATCGATAGTAAAATAGCAGTCGACAAGGCAGCATTCTAATAGTCATTTTTTCAAAGTCCTGCATAACAATATGTGCAACAACAGGTGACAAAGGTGAACCCTTGGGGGTCCCAAATATCTGCTTGTATATTTTTTTATTAAAAATAAAAACCGTCGAATTTAGAACTATCCGAAAGGCAATCAAAAATTCATCCAAAGGAATTTTAATCTTCTTGGATATAGTATCCCACCTTACAACCACACTATCAGATGCCAAATCTATAGGTATATTAGTAAATAGAGATACCACATCCAAGGAAACCAAAACAGAATCTGGTTCCAGTTTAACATTCTTAAGTTTATTAATCAAGTCAAAGCTGTTTTTTATGAAACTAGATGTCTCTGGTATAGAATCTGTAATAATGTTATGCAAGAACAATGATAGATATTTATTATATAATGGGCTATTTAAAGATCAGACAATAATTCTCAGAGGATAATTTTGTTTATGTATCTTCGTCAAACCATAAGCTCTAGGAATGATCCCATCAGTCGTACGCAACCTCCAATACATCAAGTCATCTATTAACCCTTTTCCTTTCCACCTACTAAGCAAGTTACGTAAATCACTCGTAAGTTTTTTTGTAGGATCTTTAGTTATTAACTCATATGTATTTTTATCCGAAAATATCAATTCCATCTTGGATATGTAGTCTAATTTATTTTGAGCAACGGTGACATTATCCTTATCAGCTTTGGAAATTAATATTTCAGGATGATTTTACAAATAATTTCGTTGTCTTAAACCAATCGAATAATAACTTGTCATTCGAGCTGGTCCTAAGAAAATCATTCCGAAACTTATCCATAATTGAAACACTATTATTTCTAACAAAATTAATTATATTATTCCGACGGCGAATAATATTATTCTCAATATTCTTAATAAACTCTATCAATGTTTTATCAATATTCTGCTATTTTACTATCGATACGTTGATGATATTATCTTAGCCGCTCCGTCTGAGAGTGTTTGTGATATTTTGGATATTTTTAATTCGTTACACACTAGATTACAATTCACCATGGAGATTGGCCTTGATGGAAAAATAAGTTTTTTAGATACGATGTTGATTATTGAAGAACGGAATCTGATTTTTGATATATACCGTAAAGCAACCTTTTCCGGCAGATTTCTTAATTTCCATTCACACCATCCACTTTGTCATAAAAGAGGTGTAATTTATGGAGTCGTGGATAAGATTTTTTGTTTGTGTCATCCGAAATTCCAACAAAATAATTTGATTGACGCTATTAAGATTTTTTTACAGAATGAATATCCGTTACGTTTTATTTTTTCGACTATTCATAATAGAATCAAATATCATATTAATAAGATTAATAATTTGAATAAGAATAAGGATAACACTGAGAAGAAGTTTTTTACGATTCCATATGTTAATACGATATCCGAAAGATTTATACCTATTGTTAATATGTTTAATTGTAAATTGGCTTTTACTATTCCTAACACATTAAGAAGTTTCAGAAGGAGAGGAAAGGATGATTTAGAACACGTTCAGAATCAAAATGTGATCTACAGAATATCTTGCGAGGATTGTGATGCCAGTTACGTTGGCCAAACTAAAAGACAATTAAAGACCAGATTGCATGAACATGTTTCTGATATCAATATAAGTTCAAAATCTCCATCAGTGATTTCCAACCATTGTATTGAGGAGAATCATAACTTTAAATGGGATAAAGTGAGAAATATTAGATGTAGAGCCTTCATACAATAAAAGATTGATATCTGAAATGGTCCATATTAAAAAACGGAAGCATGGAAATGGGATTAATAGACAAAATGACACGGAGTCTTTGTATTCTGACATTATACATTCTGTTTCTTCTTTCTAACATCTTCTTTCCTTTTCCCCCTATTTTTCCGTTTTCCATTCTCGATAATGTTTTTCTGCTTGACATTTCATTTTTTGACATCGTGTAAGTCAGATGCTTGTTACCTTTGCGAATTTGCTTATAATAAATTAAAAAGACTATTTCATTGTATCACGAAATGGACACATTTTACATTTTTTTTTCGTTGTGTATTATTGGACTCTTAACAGATTTACTAAGGTACATTATCATATTATTAATTTTTATGTGATTAATATTAATTCTTTTTGTTTACGGTTACTTTTCTAGAATTTTCTTATGACTTTGTTAATTCTTGATAAAAATGACTCGCAGCGTATTACACAGAAAGAAGAAATTTTATATTAAGGAATTGTAAGAATATTGTAAGATTATGTACGAATTTTTAATTTAGAACGATATTGATATTATTGTAAGATTGCATTGAAAATGACTCGATTGAAGTTGAAACGTTTGTTTTATTTTATTTTAATTGTTTTGTATTAGTTTTGCTTATTTAAATTATAATTCTTTTATACGTTATTAAACGTATTTGCCCTTGGCTCTTTGTCCTTCTTTTATACTACCTTTTTTTTATTATGTACAATATTTATTTCATATAAATATATTTCTAATAAAGAATTTTTTATTGTTAAATTATGGCATTTGATTTGAGGATGCCAAAACAAAGCGATATACTTTAAAACTTGTAAAAAATTTTTTCTATCCTTAAAAATGTTTTTAATCCAGTTAAATGCAACTTTTAAAAGCTCTATAGGAGATCCCGAAAAAATTCCACTGAATCTTGTTCTGGGTGAACAGATCTATAATTTGAGGGGAGTAAAGACCTATTTGAAAGCTTCAAACCTGTTTTGTTAAAATCGACCTTGAACTCGAAATTTTATCATTTTTTTACATTAATCGGGCTATACATTTTAAGACGTATATCATAGAGCTAAATGAATTATTGCATCGTGTTCAACGACCAAAAAAACATACAATATTACATTTAAAATTCGGATTAAAATTTGCCATTTTTGCATCAAATCAAACATGTAAGGAAAATCGAAACTTTGATTTAAAAATCGTTCTAACTAGCATTCTCTAAATCTTAATATTTCTTGATAAAAATTTAACGCGCACGCGTGATATATTATTTTAATTATTATATTATTTTAATTTACTGCGTAATTTATGAATTATTAATTAAATATTTGTGATGATTAGATACTATCTAAAATAAAATAATATTTATATCGGAAGTATACATATTATTTTATTTTATATAATATTAAATTTAAAAATATTAGGAAACTAGGGCAAATGAAAGTACAGCGCGGTACTGATGTACAGATTCAACATACAGTTAATAAAAATTAAATATAAATAAAGAAAGTATTTAAGAAAGGCTACAAGCCAATGAACAATTTTCAATATATGTTTACTGTAACAGACGTTTCGATCTTTTTATCCTCAGTGTTATTAATTTAAAATTCTATAAATCACCAATCATAATTACACAAAAACAGGCCATCGAACGCATATTTAGAAGTGTAACATGTTCTTTCTTTGATTTTTCCATTAGTCCTTGTATAATGTATATTCTTGTTATATGATTTGAGAAGTAATGAACAATGTAGATAGATTACATACTCCGTTAATCTCAAATGCAAGGTTTATATAATAGAATTTTGAATTAATTACAGGAGGATGACCCGATAAAGAAGTCGAAACGTTTATTATAATAAACGTATATAAAACGTATATAAAACGTATATTGAAAATTATTTATTGGCTCGTAGCCCTTTTTAAATAATTTCTTTATTTTCAATTTAGTAAGTTATCTATTTAATCTACATTATCTATTTAAATATAAATACAATATATTATATTTAGTTTGATTCAAAAACTCGAACGTGTCGACCTCATTTGAGGCCATCCTCAGCGATACAAATAGTTTAAAAATTGAATTGAAAGATTTTTAAGCAAACGTTTGACGTCATCAGAAATGATTTTTATAAAATTACAAAATAATAATCTGAACATGCAGTCTTACCGATTATTTAAATCATGCAGAAGTCATTAGCGAAAATTATATATTTAAAACGTAATTGTTAAAAAACAATAAAAACATAAACGTTTCGGCCAAGATCTTTAGTGGGTAAAATGAGCAAAATTATTTCGGCAAAATTATTTTAGCAAAATTTAATCAATACGAAACAATGAGTCAAACAATATGTTACATAAGGATTAACTTTGCGTAGTATTTTAACTTGACGAATTAATCCATCGATATTGGCTTTAATTCTGTTTACATTTAATTGTATGATCTGCGTGCATTAACTGTAATCATTTATAATACGTTTGGTTTGCATTGACTAAATTATAATAATTTTGCATATTTTGAAAATGGCCATATACTGAAAATGGCCATATCTTGGTCGAAACGTTTATATTTTTACTATTATTTTTTAACAATTATGTTTTAGATACATGATTTTTGCTAACATCCTGCGTGTGGCTGTTCTGTTCTTAAATATATTTATGTAAATTTTAAATATATTTATTCATATTTAATTTTTATTAATTGTATGCTGATTTTGCGCATCAAGTACTTCGTCAAACTCTCATTTGCCCTATAGTTTCTTAATATTTTTTGAATTTCTAGACTCCTTATTAAATTCTTTATTTTAATATTAAATTATTAATATCAAATTATAGTATTTAATTATTACAATTTTTTATCAATTATAATTATAGAAGAAATGGCTCGTCTAGGCGTTAATTGGGGAACTCTGAAGTCAAATAGCAATTACAACCGCACTCACATCCGGTAAATATAATTACTAAAAATATTATTATATAAATTAGAATTTTAATTAAACTTTAATCATTTTATACAGCGCAATAAAATAGATTATTCACATATGTATATGCACAAAGAGAGTTCTTCATTATATTTTACTTAAAATTCGCTATAAATTTTACCATATTTATATCTATAAACGTGGGACAATTTGACAACCTATTAAATATGATCACAAAGATAGAAATTTTTGAAATACACAAAAAAAGTTTTATGAACTATTAATAAAAATGATCAAGCACATTATAAATTATTTTAATAAAAAATATTTACAAAGCGTTTCATAATTTAATTTACAATATAATTTACACATTATATTGTACAATATTTTAATACAGATCATTAGGGGTGGGCAAAAATAATCGATAAAGCAATAATCGAGTACTTTCTTTTTTGAAAAATCAATTAAGTAATCGATGTTTATTCGATTCTTCTCTTAAGAATTCGATTTTTCTCTGAGTCGATAATCTTTTTTAATTTATTTTAAATATTTAATTTATCGATTTTGCTGAATAGGTTATACGTTCACGCTACACTTTAAAGTTCAAATTCTCACCCAAGTACTCACTCAAGTACTTCCCAGGTATCATGTCCTTGTTTAACATTCACTGAGCAGCAAAGATAAAATAAATGAACTCAGATGGAAATTTAAGCAGCTCTGGTTGGAGTATATCTTTGTTACTCTATTGAATACCATGAAAGATAGAACGACACTTATATCAACTTGTAACGCTAAATGAAAAATACTTTTTGATTGGTTGCGCCATTATGTATGTAAATTAACTTGAGCCAATCAAAGAATCTAGGCGATGACGATGGCCAGACTTCTGCTCCCTAAAACACTTGCTGCATTTCGATATTCGCTGCCAGTACTAAATCTATTAATCAAGATGTTATGTCCAAGCCCTAGGATTCTTTTATTTCACGGGATTCATTAGGATAGAAGAGGAGGCATAAACAGATCTTGCTTGTGGATTAACGTTTGGAAATGTGACATAAGTTGAACGCATTTGCGTAAGTCTCAAAATAAGGGCCAACTATATGATCGTTATAAATAACTAGAGATGCACCGGCTATCCGAAAATTATCCGATATTATCCGGCACTTTTTTACTATCCAACCGAATAATCGGATATCATTAGTATCTGGGAATATATCCAGTTGAAATTTTATATTGAAAGTTTGTGTTATTAATGCAGATTTCTATTGTTTTCAGCTGAACTTCATACAGTTCATCTTTCTTCTTTTTCTTTTTACGTTGGGAAGATGAAAACAAAGATAAATTGTGCAAGAAATTCAACTAAAGCTGCGTTTGAGATCAACAGTAGTGCAATCGTGTCATTCTATTTTTATCATTCATTAGACTTAAAAAAAAGGAATAGATTATAGAGCATGTTCCGAGTTACACATAAAGCGCTTGATGCATCATTTGTCCTTGTTGTTTATTAAATACTAAAGAAGGATAAAATAATACATCATGCCATCAACAACATACTATTAAAGTATGACAGGCAAAAATTTACCGTTAATCCTGAGCAAATTTTCCATATAAAAATGGCCTCGAAGGCCCAGAGGTATTAGAAATACCGGTAGAAAAATAATGTGTTTTTAACTTTTAACTTTAAAAGCATATATCTCAGTTCAGAGTAAAGTGTATTAATTAAAATAAGAACCATTACAATCAACATTTTTGTCGACAAGAAACAAGTTTATTTATAACGTAGAATTCCAACGTCCTGAAATCGATATATTCTTGGAAAACATTTTCAACAGCACCATGATTGTTGAAGAGACTTTCTCTTGCAGGAAATAATCGATGGTTAAAAAAATGATGTTTGGCGAGAAGTCTGGCGAATATGATGGGTGAAACAGAGTTTCGTAGCTTAATTTAGTTTCTGCAGTGTCTTCCTTTAGTGCAGCTTCGATTTTGGGAAATATTGTGGAGCTTCGTCGCAGTCCAATCACTATGTTGAGCGTCGCCGGTTGTCATATAGAATCCATTTTTTATTACATGTCACAATACGATCGAGAAATGGATCGTTGTTACGCAAAAAAAGCGCAGAGTATACTTCATAACGACGGTTTTTTTTCATTCAATTTATGCGGCACCCATTTGTCAAGCTTTTTTGATTTTCTAAGTTGCTTGAGGTAATCCAGAATGTTGAATGATTTATGTCTAACTTTACTCTCGAATCGTTGTGCACGGATCTGCCTCGATCAACACCTTCAATTCATCATTGTCAACTGCCCATGGATGTCCACGATCTTCTTCATCTTCAAGGTTCTCATCTCCATTTCGAAATTTTTATAACCAGTGTTGCATCGTACGTTGCGGTTCTCTAACCGAATGCGCTGTCGATGTTACGAGTCGTCTCTGTTGTTTCATGGTCTAGTTTGATTTTTTATGGTCTAATTCTCTTACAAGAATATCGCTCGCAATTGCTTCTTTTCCATCATGAATTCTATAAATAATAATGAACACAAAATAATAGTAAAAATAAAACCATAGCAGAGAAATATAGAGAATATGGAGAAACATAGAGAATATGAAGAATATAGAGAAATATAGAGCGAAATTTACGCTTTGGTATATAAAATAAATATATTTAAAAAAAATGTTTATTCTAAAAACAAGTAGCAAAGTCAAATAATATATAAAATCAATATTATTTTCCTAGCAATCTCAATTTGCAATTTTTTAGCAAATGTGTGTGTGTGTGTGTGTGTGTGTGTGTGTGCTGCAAATTCTTACAAAAAAATCCTTGTGAGATCTTTCAAGAAAATTTTCACATACGAATTTTGGACAGGAATATACAAGATAGTATAAGAATATATAGAATATAATAAATCAAGAATCTTGCATGAATCTTACACTCATATTACATGAACCTTATAAGCATGTTACATGACCCTTACATACATATTACATGAATCTTGCCCGCAGGTTACGTGAATCTTACAAGAATATAACTGAAGTGTCATGAAAATATTACAAGAATACTATTAGTATCACATTTTGTGTGATTTATTGCTCGTATTCCAGTAAATAAAATGGAATAGGACAAGCAAGGAGTTAAATAGGATTTAAAAGAATTCATTTCGGCTAAAAAATTAATTCTTTTTACCCAAATTGAATAACGGGTCCTCGACTAAATCAAATTTAATTTGAGAAAGAAGTACAAAACTACGCCAGTTATTACAGCGAAATTATAATTTATCAATTCATTAAGACAGTGATAATATATATGTTTCTTTTATTCAGTCATTTTCAGTATTCAAACAAATTTTTGTGGGGGAAAAAATGAAGACAGAGGTTTATTTATTTAATCTTTCGAGATTTTATTTCCATTATAATGGTGGTAGGAGGATAAAAATTAAAGAAAAAGTTAACTGGGATACTACTTCGTAGTATTGAGATAAATCAAGAAGAAGGGTATATAGAAAATCAAACCTTAGAAATTATGAATCGGATTTCATCATCATAGATCTCCATGATCTGGACCGATCATGTAGGCATTATTGGAAAGGATGGGAATCTGAGGAAATTAAGCGAATAATGCATGCAAGGAATTAGAATTGCCCCAATGATAATAATATTTAAAGCGGGAAGGAGAAACTTCATCGAGAAATTCGATTAAAAAGGAAGAAGAAGCAGGAGAAGGGAGATGAATAAGTTTTGATGTCGAGAGCTGAGGTGTAGGGTGAGGTGAATCTAGGGATGTTTCTTCGGTTAGAAGGGGATGAGTTAAGTTGTTCTGGAGAAGAGGGGTGTAGATAAGGAGATAGAGGAGGAACTCGTTTGAATTCGAAGGAAAGGGGGATTGATGGTAAAGGGAGACGGAATTATAAAGAGAAGGAAAGGGAAAATTTTGAAAATGATCGCTTTATAACTCTATATGTAATTGATTAACATTAGACTCAGCCTGAGTATTCCTTCCTTTATCGTTGGCATTCTCGTCGATTGCGGCGGTTCCGGCGATGTTTTGCGAAAATTCTTGATTTTTTTTTATAATGGAAACGATCCACTAAAATTTCGTGAATAAAGTAACCGACTAAATAAAAGGGAGGGGGGAATAATAACGTGATATTAATAATTTACGAGGGTCATGCTGATGTCACGGATCTATTTGCTGATATCGATCGAATAACCCAAAGTAGCAAGAATGCTATGAGTCAAATCAATTTTGATCGGGTAACCCGAAGCTAATTATATCGAAGTAACTCTAACGCATGGTGCAAATAATTTTAAATTCGGAGATTGTTGTTTGGAAAAAGAAAAAAGAAAAAATAAGAACAAATAAGAACAAATATCATAATGTATTATAAAGTTTATGTAAAATTTATATAAGATATTTTTTATATGTATTATTACTTGGTATTTTATTTAAAATAATAAAGAATTATAAAACTGTTTAACGTAATTTAATCATTAAAATTTATTATATTTTTTAGTAAAAATATAAATTAAACTCATTTTATAATTTATTATAAAAATATCAATATACCAGAGAGAATCACATAAAATTCTTTGAAATATCATATTGTCCTATTATTACCACGATTTTCAGGGTAAATTTCAAGAAAAAATTCTTTCCGTAAACATATTAAACAATAATTCTCAAAAATCATTTACTTTGTTAACATAAAAAGCATTAAAATTTTCAATTGCCGAACTTAAAACAAGAAATCTCTGTTGCAGCACTTATTCGAACGAAGTCAGATTGTCCTTAGGGGAATTAAAGGATAGATCTCCCGTACAACCCTTCCGTACAGTCGGACATTACGGGAGCACCATCAGTCTAAAAAGTCTAGCAACGGACAGTTCAGGGAATGGCAACAACAATCTCAAATGCCTTGATTATAACGGTGGCAGTTTAATTAATCTTCGAGACCAGGTGGAGACCTCACAAGTCAGACACAGAAGTCCCAGTCTGCCTCCGATCTTCAATAAGGAACAACAGCAGTATTTTTGCCAGCTGGTATGTATTTTTTCACTTTTTTAAATTTATATATATATATATTTAATAAACAAATATCTCTCTCTCTCTCTCTCTCTCTCTATATATATATATATATATATATATATATAATAAATTAAATAAGCCTAGTTATATATAAAAATAAAAAATAAGTTTGAAAAAATTTCAATAAGAAGGAACTCAATATTTATATCTAAAATAATATCTTAATCAACTTAATTAAATTTTTCAAATTTTTTATGACTAACTGATTGCCAAGATAATTATTTTTCCATTTTTTATCAGAGAATTCATTACAGTATGGATTTTCAATTAAAAATTTTATTAATTCACTAATAATTTTGCTATATTGGACTTCAAATTGGTTTTATTACGAATAAAAACTCTGAAATATCGTATTATCTTTGACTTATCTGAATAATTGATGACATACTGTAAGTTTATTTGAGTGCGGTTGCAATGTCACGCCGATACAATGTGTTATGTAGCTAAGAAATAATCGAATAATTAAGTATTAGTACTTTGTATATTTATTATACGTCGAGAATTATATACTGAGAAAATTGGTACGCATAACTCGAGAATGATTTTTCTTGCTGCTATAATCTTCACACATATTATTTTTATATTTAATTTCTTCGAAGCATTTTTTTTTAAGCAATTCAGCTTTGATGATAAAGGTTCTATACCTGCAAGCATTGATTGGAATCCTTTTGCAGGGAATTCATGTTCGAACTCTAATTCAAGATTCGACGATCCATCAAAATTAACGATCGCGGCTAATCACAATTTCATAAATAACGAGCGACCCTCAATAGTACATTGCCCTTTCGATAATACGTTGAGGGAAAAGCAAAAGTAAGGCAGTCCGGCAAATCGATTCTTATCGTGTGTAAAGTTCAACGACCTCAAGTTTATACACCTCGCTCTCGAACTTAAAGAGTAACGAGCGGGCATTCGCCCTCATTAAGCACCGCGATTGCTAGAACTACTCATAGCACAAATCTGATTTCACAGTTTAATCGCAGTTGTTGCCCCAAAAAAATATTTCGCATTTGAATTGACTTTAAAACTAAGAAATTTTGCGAAACAATTTATCGTTTTTTTTTTTAATTTTTACGAACATTTTTTGAATATTATTCAAAAAAATAAACTAAATTTTTATTGATTTCGATTCTTATTTCTTTTTTAATTATGTAAAGTTGCAATTTTAATTGCAAGCATTCCTCAAATTATTTATTAATACTTCTACGTAGAATGTATGCGATAAGAACAATCTTGATCATAATTCAGTACAAAGCAACCTCAATTTACTGTTTTCTTTTTTTTTTTTGTTTTTTTTAAAGCCTATAAAACCTAAAAGAAAACTAAAGAAATTGAAATTGTTATAAAAATAATAATAATTTTTTATTAAATCTATTTTAATTTATTTTTCGTATCACAAAGAAACGATTTTGCTAAAATATCTAAGAACTTATATAGACCTGAAAATAATTTTTTTAGATTATCAAAACAATTAATAAATGTAGAAAATTCAAGTATGATCAGCAATGCTGCAAAAAATCTTTAAATTATGACAACCAACTTTAGCGTTCTATTTATTTTGGTCCAACAAAGTTATATTCAGATCAGTAATTTTTTTAGATATTTCAACAAAACCGTTTTAGAACATTTACAATTTGTGAGAATGTTTTACACTTTTAACTAAGGCTGTAAATGGATATAATAAATTAGTTGCATATAGGTACATGTATTTAATTAGAGTATTTAATTTTTAAAGAAAAATTTTGTCATGCAACCGCTCGTATCGGCTTTCATTATGTATGTATAAACGGATAAAAATAGGAACCAGATCGTACCATGATGTATTATATGTATGCGTCCCGTCTCGGGCAGGTACGACAATAATATTCAAGCACAATATGTATATAGAACCCGACGGAACACAATTTCTTCCTTCATGAAAGTCGGAACCCTCGCACCGGTCACGCAAACCTGCCTTCGCTGCTGAAGGCATCTTATCCTTATCGTCTCGCCATTGTAGGAACAACAACAGCGTGACTTCGGCGTGGAGGGATCGCGATACCAGTCACAGAGAGCGCAAAAACTGGAACACCATTGCCATCGATCCAACGAGCATCGCGAGAACCAAAAAGAAACTCGACATTACGGCTCGCCGGGCGAGGAACGCGAAGGCGAAACTTCCGGTTACGCCAGCGATTCCGTGGATGTACCGCAGGCAGGGCAAAGTGAGTCCTTCTAAACTATATTCTGTAAATTTCATATGAATTTCAGAAATGATATGCTGATACGCTGTTGACTAATGAAAAGAACAAATTTTTTATAATAAAAAACCTTGCTCCATAAAATGAAAAATTTTTATAATTTTTCAGCATTTTTATGTAAATTTTAGAATTTTTTTAGAATTTTTGAGCAGTTGTATAATTTTTCAGAAATTTCTCAAATTTGTTATATAGATTGGAATATTTTTCAGAAGTATTGAGAAACACATATTTTCCAGAATTCTCCATATATGTATATGTATTGTAAATTTTAAAATATTCCAAGATTTCTAAGATTTTTTTATTCCATAATTTCTGATAAAATCTTATAACATGTAAAATAAACAATTCCATATTACAATATTAATTTTTGTTCAGAAATTATATACAATAAAATATCTTAAAAACTTTAGAAAAAACTTCAAACTTCACATATAAAAAATTCATATATAAAATTCATATATAAAAAATTCTAAAAGATTTTCGAATTTGTAAAAATTATGAGAAAAATTTCACAAGACTTCTTAATGAATATAATAAGGAATTAAACAAAAATAGATATCGAAAATGAAAATTTCTACAAATGGCACTAATTCTAGAATGTCATTATGTTTTTTAACCATTCTCCTTAGCAACAATAATGAATTTTCCATATTTTCTTTGACTTAAGGAGTTCTGCCTGATAAAGCAGCGATCAGGATGGAAATGACGGAAAAAACATGGCAAAATCCTTACTGCACTACGCCGGAAAGTTCACTGCCACCATCGAGAAGGCTTTCGCCAGGCAAAATGGGTGAACTCAACAGGCCAAGGTGGGGCGGTGTCTGGGGTCAAGATGCAGCTAGAGGTGACCCACCGCCGCCTTCTTGGCTATCAAGATTAGGACAGTCGAGCCAAGTAAGTTTATTAGAACTTTAATTATCCATTAAATTATCTGCAAAGAACTTTTTGAGTATCTTCAAAAGTCTAAGATTAAAAACTATTCAAGAGCATTTGTTTCATCTATCCCACATAATATCTATAATTAAATCAAATATTCTTTTTATCAAGGTTCTAGTGATCAATCACGACAGCGCCAGCAGCCCGGATAGTTCAACGACTGGCTCAACCGGCTCCGATATCAATAAAGTATCTTATCTTCGGGGTCAAAATATTCCTATGGACGCGGAGATCCTTCAAGAACGCGAAATGAAACGTCAGAAAGCGCTAGAGCTTCAAAACGCTATCAAACAGCAACTCGAGGAAAAAGACAGACAAAGGAAAGAAGAGAAAGAGCGGCGGCTGAGAGAAGAGATGTTGGAAGAAGAACGAATCCGGCGAGAGAGAGAAAGAGACAAAGCAAGGTAAAATAAATATAAAATATTAGGAAAGTAAAAACCGGCTCTGGGACGGAGAGAAGAGTAAAAAGATTCTCATATTGTCTCATAATATATAGATTAGGATCGGGTATTATAAGCAGTGCAAGTAATATGAGCACCCTTTATATTTCTGTAATGGTTGATATTAGTAATGCCAATTGTTGTAAAAAGATGTCTTCGCGATATTCCGATATGCTGCACAATTTTTAAATTTATGTATAAATATACTTCGTATATTTATCACATTAAATAAGTAGCTACGTTATTTTTTATTTCTTACGTTTTTTCCTTTAACTTCACTAAGGTCCTTAATCTATTGAGATAAGATATTTTGTTTTGCATGATATGTTAAGTAAACAATATTGAGCCATTCTAACTTCATAAAGTCCCGAGATCCCATTATTGATTTATTAGACATAGGAGTTTTTCGGATAGGTCGTGTATTAGTGAGTATCTTCATTATTCCTTATTTTATACTGAAAAAAAGAGTCTGGCGAGGGGTCAATCATTTTGGGGCAATCAGTGTACATTTTATTAGAAATATATTGCGACAGTACAGTAATAAAACAGGCAATGCCAGCAGTAGCAGTACTAACAATACATAGTAGTACATAATACATTAATAATATACATTAATAATATTGGCAATATTGCGCGCAATACATAGAATATATGACAATATTAGGTGGCAATACATAGAATAACAATATCAACAATATAATAGCAATGCTAGCAATAAAGTATGTTGTATTGCCGTAATTAGCAATCACTGTATATTAGTGTACATTTTTTTAGTTAATGGTTGACCTTTTTAAAATTTAGTAATAGCTATTAACTGTATGGTGAAATAATGCCAATCAAATATTTGATTAATATAACCAAAAATAATGTTACTTTTACAAATATTTAATAAATATTACCATTTGGTAATGCTTACTAAATATTTGTCAATGTAACATTTTTTTGTTACATTAATCAAACATTTGATTGGTATTTCTGATGGAAAAATTTTGCTGAAATTTCACGTTTTGAATGCTTTTAGCAAAATATTTTTTAAAAAATTTCAATTTAATTCCAGTAATTTTTAGCTGAAAAATACATTTTCAGCAAATTTTCAGTAAATATTTTAGAGAAATTTCAACAAAATTTCAGAAATTTTAATTCAATTTCGAAGAAATTTCAGTGATTTTTCAATAGCTGAAAAATTCACTTTTAGTGAAATTTCAACAAATTTTCAGCAATTTCGCTAAAATGTTCTAAAATTTAGAATAATGTCAACAAAATTTTTTCATCAGGGATTTATTCTAATAAAATGTTTCATACACACACACACACACACACACACACACACACACACACACACACACACACACACACACACACACACACACACACACACACATATATATATATACAGTGAGTGTAAAAGGTATTCGTATAAGGAAATTTTTTTTTTTAAATCTTCTTTATGGAAAATAAACATTAAGTAAACATTATAATTTATGCAATGAATACATTCTGTTCTAACATAAACAAAGCTTTGCATGTATTTCTGATTTTAGAAGCTACATTTCTCTACTGTACGAATACTTTTTAAGCATCCAAACAATAGAATTTTTAATTTCTGTTTATTTTTCAAATGATATATTTTCTATAATTAATACACATCTTTTGGTATATATAATTTTAAGAAACATACAATCTATTTTATTCTTTATAAATAAATTGTTAATTTCTCAGCAAGAAACGATCGCCAAATATTGAATCAACATCAAATTTGTATTAAAATCATCGTATTGATATCAATCGACATCAATTCGATGACTCATTTCTCGCTAGATAATATTTACTTTTTAACAAGTTTTTTTAAAAAATATTTTCTCTGTACGAATACTTTTTGTACTCACTGTATATTTCATTTCTGCATAATTTCTTATAAAAAAATTTCCTGTGTTCATATTACCCCTAAAGCCTATTCAGAGGGTAATAAGAGCATCCGCCACTATTTCAACATTTGCATTAAAATAATCAATTTCAATACTAAGATACATAAAATATTAATAAATCTATCAAATGGTATGCATAAGATTTTTTTATTTTTCAGTAGATATATCAAAATTCCTTAAAATGCTCATAATACTCAATCCTACCCTTATTTATTATTATTAATAAAAATTCATTTCCTATTTCAAATTTATGAAAATTTTCGAAACAATATCTTAAATGTTTTTAAATTTTATAAATTTTCTTCAGAAATTGCAGAAATTTTAAAATATTTTTTTAGAATTTATATGAAGAATTTTAGAAAAGATTTATGAATTTCTTCAAAAATCTTTCTAAAAAATATTCTAATTTCTATAAAAATTTTGAAAAATTTTTTAAAAAGCTATATAGAAATTCTGAAAAAATCTGATATCTACAAATTTTGAAAAATTACATAAAAAATTCTAAAGAAAATTTTCATCAGATTCTTATCTGTAAAATTAGGGATGCACCGGATATCCGGAAAGTATTTGATATCCAATATTATCCAGCACTTTTTTTACTATCCAACCGGATAGCCGAATATCATTAATATTCGGGAATAAATCCGGTTGAAATTTGATATCATTAAATTGTTGATTTTTTCTTATACAATACAAATGTTCTAGAAATAAGTATGCATGATGTTATAATATCTTATATATTGTTGCAAAATCACAATCTTTTTCTTTATAAAATTTTTTTTTAGAAGACTTTTTTGGAACACTTTCTCGGAATTCAATCGGGATTCGATCCGAAAAATGTCGAATGTCCGACTCGAAGAAATTACCTTCTTGGATATCCGATTGGAAACCGGATATCTGATGTTACATTCTATCCGATATTCGGTATCCGGTAATTTTACGATCCGGTGCATTCCTATGTAAAATTATAAATCACACTTCGGCTCATGTTTACCAATATAGATTAACTTCAAGTTCAACTATACTTCATCTTTTTCTAGCTCTAAGAATTAGAAAAAGATAAAGATCGAGTAAGTTGAATTGAGATCAAAGTTAATCTACACTGATAGAAACAGGCATCTATGAATTCACTCCGTTGTAGATTTGAAGAAGAGCAGCGAATAATACGCGAAAAGGAGGAGGCGAAGTTGAGGAAGACGCAAGCCATGCGCGAGGTGTTGGAAGCTGCGGAACGGTTGGCAAAGGAAGATGGGAAGAATCGACGAAAGCGAGAGGAACATACCGACGAAGATACCGACGTTGTGACGCAATTTTCCAACGAGTCGAAAACAATAGCAAACATAAGCGACAAGCGCGAAGAAGAGAGTTGTTCGCAAGAGCAAAGCGCAAGTTTGATCAATCATCCTGAAGAAAAATCCAGCCTGAAGGCTCAAGAGACCGACAATTGTCGGGAAAGCGGGAACGATAAAAATCCGAGAGAAATTTGTCCACGGAAAAATTACGCAGACAAATCGGCAAAGACCATGCTGGCCCTGAATGTGAGCAAGGACGTGGCGATCGTGCTGAGCGGCCGGCTAGAGGATCCCGAAATTTTGAGCAGAGCGAATCTGCAGCTGGTGAACCTGGTGATGACGCCGAGCCCGCGCAAATTCGCAGAGAGCGCCGCGGATTATTTCTCGCTAGGGCTCAATACGATCATGAGGAATAACACAAGTCCCAGGAATCCGAGGAGGTCGTCGAGGGACGCCTCGTCGACTGTTGTGGAGAACAGACTGTTGACGCCGAGCAAATACAGAATGCCAGCCGGTCGGGACTTCGGCACTCAGACAGATGTGGAATCCGATGTCCAGGAGCTACGGGAGAAGCTACAGGATCAGTCGGTCGGAGACCAAGGTACCATGAAGGAGCGGAAGGACACGACAAACGCCAACCGTAGAAACGTTGAAAAGTGAGTCGCCATCTTCGCGATCTCGATGTCGCATTTCTGGGCTTCTTAGAGGCCGAAACCAACGACTGTGTTCTCCCCTGCATGCGGTAGTATCTGTCGGTAATTATCGTTTTTATTTCATACTGTATAGTTCAATAATAAGGTTGATGATCGTAAAGACGCTTTACCGTGAAATGTCTGCCGATTCGCGCGAGGAAAATACCCAGTAAGTTGAATGCTCTTAATTGATTCTCTTAAGAGAATAGAAAGCGTAACTTATCTAAAGCCCGATGTCCACGATGCTAGAAATCGGTCCGAGATTTCGGACAGAGAAAAAATTAACAAATCACATTTGAATTTTGATCACATGACCATTGCGATTGGTCAATTCTTTCTTCATCTGAGATCTCGGACCGATTTCTAGCATCGTGGACACAAAACTTTACACTTGATTCTCCTTAATTTACATTATTGGTGATATTATTTTTTTTAACTTTCGCTCAAGTTTGCTGCTTCAAATTCGAATGCATCTTGGCAATTAAGCTTAAACCTGCTATATATCATTCTCGCCTGACAGAAAACGCTTAAAAAATTTATCAATAAAATTAATTACGATACTTCAGTACGATTGTAATTGTTTGAAGATCAAATAATATGGGTCCTGGCGAAGAAATTCCTGTAAAAACTCTTCCGCGAGCCAAATCGCAGCCCAGAACTACGCTCGATAGCAGACCGCGATGGAACGCCAATCGGTAATTAAAATATTACAAAAACTATTAGGACTGTAACTCTTAACGATTATACAATATCGTTACAGTCATTAAGAGTTACAGAAAGGTTTTTATTAATCCTCCGGAGCCGATGCCAAAATCTGTAACATGATAACTGACACTAAAACTTATTTAATATTTATATGTTAATTAAAAGGCATCATTCATGATGAATTAAAATGGCATAACTCATATAAAAAAAAATGAATACTAAGATTTATTTCAATAAGAATAATCAAAATATAATATAAAGAAATTTAAATTGTTTGACATTTTTGTGTAAAATGACAACATAATTAATAATGAATTTTTTTTTTTGACATTACTTACAAAGAAAGCTATATTATTTTTACTTATCAAAAATTATTTTTACTTATTGTATTTTTGTTATTCAAATAATCAGTGCAATAGGTCCCACCATCAGTTGCCGAGAAATAATTTTCATATAATTTTTCAGAATTTTTATGTATAGTTTAAAATTTTTCAGAATTTCTAATTGATTTTATAACTTTTTAGAAAATTTCTTAAATTTCTTATACAAATTGGAACACTTTTCAGAAGTGCCGAGATCGAAAGCCGACACACATCTTTTGTAGAATTCTTTCTATATTTTATATGTATAGGATAAGGAATCTAGGCCACCTGAATAACTAGCTTATTTTTAACAATAGAAGGAAAAGTATCAAACAAAAGTGCATGATTTCAAGGGGGACGTATTTTGGTCCGTTGTCTTTCTTCTGGGAGGCGCTAAAAAGATATGAAGGTTGCCCCCTTTTTTAAATGGAATTGTATGAGTTTTTTACACAATAAATTATTCTGCACATAAAAGTATTAAGATAATAATATTAAAAAACCAATAGTTTACGAGATATTTTATGCCAACATGTTATAGAATAAAAGTATAAAAGTCGTTATAGAATAAAGTATAAAAGTCGAGTTCATGAACGAGAATCGTATATAAAACGTGACTTTTTGGTTTTGCCATTGCGACACTTTTTTCCCCTTCTTCGATAAACCGAGCACGTCGGTCGCGCCACTGATATTGACTCGCGAGCGCTCGTCTTCCCCAGGCACTATGTGCTAAGTTTAAATTCGAATTATTTAGTTTCCAACACTCCCTTTTAATCTGGATTCAAATTTTCACAATAACAAAATTATTGATACCAAACAATAAAACAAAAAACTTATTAAAAAAAAATAAATCTTATTTTAATCTCAACTTATTCCTTTTCTCTCTCTCTCTCTTTCCCTCTCTCTCTCCTCCCTTCCCTTCATCTTCTCCTCCTCCCTTCCCCCTCTCTCATCCTTTTCTCTTCAATTTTATTTTACTTTCGTTTTTTTTCCTTTTTTAACATAATTAACATTTTAATTTAACATAATATGATAGTTTCTAGCCAACTAAGTTATTTATATATATCACTTTACACACACAAAATTTAACGGTTTCATAAATATATCTGCTATCTGATTTTCCGAACTACAATATTTTACTATATTATTTTCTGCTATTTTTTTTTGTACAAATCGAAATTGAACATTGAGATGTTTAGAACGTCTATTTAATACATCTGTCTTTATCAAATGTATCTCATTTTAATTATCTACGTAAATTTCCGCAATTATTTCTCAATTCCTCCAATACCGCCTTTAGAACGTTCTTACAACAGTCGCCGAAATATACTGCCTCTATACTGAAAAGTGCAACAATCATTTGCTTTCTAGAATACCAAGTTATTGATATACTCCGCAGTACTGGATCACGTAGCCAATAGTGCTCTTTCCCATTTCAGAATCGCCAGAGTAATCTGTATCACAATAGGCTTTTCCATTACAATAGGCTTTGTCTGTGTCCTCACCATATATTAGACTGAGTTCCTTGTAACTCTGTAAATACTCTGTAAACATCTTAATATTCTTTTGTTTAAATAATCTTTACTTTTTGGAGATTGATGATTATATCTACTGCTATAATTGACTACAGAGATTCGATCTTGTTTTCATCGTTAGATATAGAAGACTTCCGACTGTTTGTCTATACGGCAATGTTTTCCTAACATTCTGTACTTTGGTTCCTTTTCTGATAATATTAGCGTGTTGGCAGGCTTCGCATCCTTCATGTATATCTCTAAATGTTTCTTGTTCAATAGTTTTCTTGGTTCACAATAAACCTATTTTTCCGTAACTCGCCGAACTTAATGAAACTTAATAGAACAGACGAAAATAATAGATACGTATTTTTTCTACATCGGCGATGGTGCAGGTTTAAAGATGCAAACTACCCTTAGAATAATAAGCACGAGTACTCAATTTCTTGCATTTTAACTCACTCTATTACAGCTGCTTCTGAATTTTAGAGTTGATAAACTCTAACCAAATGGCTTTCATGTATGAACTCTGCGAAACAAATTGGACAAATCTGGATGAAATAAAGTTAGGTTTCTTGACAAAATTAACAAGCGCGGAGAGAAACTATGTTTTCTAATGAATCCAGCTTGAATGAAAGAAGTTAGGATGACTAAATTGTTTTGATATGACCTAAATTTCCTTAATCCGAACTGATTACTAGGTAATAGGTGGATTAAGAAGGAGGAAAAGGACTTCGCCAGCCAATAAATACGATTGAAAATCATACGCTCCATGATTTTAAGAGGACACAATGTAAGAGAGATTCGATGGTAACCCTCCTAGACTTAGGAATGAGAAATATTAATGAGTAACCATTGTTTAGAAAAAACAGAAGATGGAAATAGTTGGTTCAGTATAGAAAGAAAACGAGATAAAAGTTTATCTGAGAGAGTTTTTAGCAGATGGTACTCAGTCCGGTCGAGCCGCGGACTGGAAAAGATATTTACTGAATACAAAGCAGCTCGAATCTCGCCCATAGTTCCAGCCATACAAGTGGATCCTCCGTTGTGCTAGGAATAAGAGGTAGAAAGGGAACAGGAAGAAGAACAGATCTTGTCCATAATCTCACGAATGAGTTTGTCATCCGCCGAACAGATGTTACCCTATTAAAAATCCGAAGATGCAAGACAACGGTTTTTGCAACGTTTAATCATTCTCCATACATCAGTAGTAAGAATGAGATGACTTAAGCTTTCACAAAAATCTCTCTAACCTTGACATTTGGCCTTACGCAGCATCTGACGGGCATTTCTAATCACAACTTTAAACTCTTCATAAATTTCGATAGTGGGGACTTGTCTGCAGGTTTTTAGTGCAGAAGAACGAATTCGAATGACTTCGTCATAATTTGAAGTCCATCAGGATGCACGAAGGGATCTTTTAGATCAGCCTCCATCTTTAAAATATTTAATATTCGTTGAAGAGAAGAGATGCTTAGTAAAACAGAAGAGAATTTCATTGATAAATTTATCATACAATTCCTCAAGGAATGAATGAGTGATAGAAAAAACATTGTCAATAATGTTCTGCGCGTGCTCTTTTAGCCAGCTAGAAACGCAAAACCATTGAGCTCAAGTCGGATTCTATATGAAAAAGTGGTAGATATACATGTCAAAAGTTAATATTGACGATCAGGGAGAAATGATCGCTATCGTGAAAATCCTGTAAGATAAGAATTTCATACATAGAGGCAAGATCAGACGAGGTTACAGCAAAATCAATAGTTGAAGGGATCTTAAAGGAATGAGAAAGATGAATGGGAGAATCCGTAGGATTCATACAGATAATCGTATGATTCCATGAGATCACTCATGATAAACCCCGCCGCATTGGATCTGAAAGATTCCTACAGGGGATAATGTGTGTTGAAGTCTCCAATAATCAATGTGGGGCTTTGTATATCTGCGGAGAATAGAGAATCGATTGCCGTTTAGGACGCAAAAATATTAGGAAAAATGTATGGCGATAAACCAATAATAGTTAAACTATTAAAGCAATTAAGAGAAAGAGAAATAAGAATATCCAAGGAGAGGAAAGTAAATCAGGTTTATTGTCAGAAATAGTATTGTATAATAGATTGGGTTGCGAATTAATATGGCTATATCTCTGATGTCGTGAGAAGAAGAGTCAAGCTGAATGCAATCGAATCCACAAATTCGAAAATCATGTGGACTCAAGCATGTCTCAAAATAATGACGTCATATCCCTGCGCCAATTTCTCCAACTCGGGTTTTTTATCCGAACGCCACGGCAGTTCCGGAAAAGGAGCCTTATTGAGAACTATATTGCTGCACTGTAGTAGAATCTATGAAGTTATATACGATTGAAGTTGTCCAAAATTTCTTGTATCTGCCGAAGTCTGGCACCAAACTGAGTCTCACAGAGCAAAGAAGGTATATATGTTACTCGAAAGTTTATGAAAAGAGTTAGAAAGCAAATTGAAAAATTACAAAAATTAGACTAGCGATAAAGGTTAGTCTGGGATAGAGTCCCTAGAAAAAGCATCGGTCCATGTTTTCGATTGGTTCATGTTAGCTTGCTTTCACTATGGCAGCACAAATCACAATATAAGAAAATGGCGCGCTTATTGAAAAACTTGTAGACGTGAAATAACCCAAAACATTCTTTTTAATGTATATTTTATTTCATATTATAAGGAAATAATATAGTTATGAAGAAATACAATCTGTTTAATAAAAATATAAAATTTCAAATGAAAACATAGTTTCAAACAACGATATGGCCAGTCAAATGTATTCCGCACACACCTTCAAAGGAAAGTAATAGCACACCAGCGGGAAAGTAATAGAAACGAAATCAAAACAACCCCTAGCACAAAGTTGCACAAACAGCAACACTGCTACAACATGCAGCAACCAGAGATTTTGCAATAATATTGCTGCAAATTCTGTAATGTGTAGGAAAAAAGCTTGGTTTAACAAAAATTGGAGATAATGCAACATCCAACAAGCCGAGACAAGACAAAAACGTCCGTCCCGATTCACAATCATCATGGAATTAACTTCTAAGTACGAAAGTGTAAAGTGCAAACACTAAGAACATATTTCCACTACTTT